AAATACGTTGTCGTGAATGTCGACGCAAACACCACCGGGCGACCAATCTTTAGTATAACTTAAGGGTTTGGCGGTATATTCAAACTTGATTTTACCATTCGTTCCCATGACAACAACGGCATTGGTACCCCAATCAGAAGCAACAAAGTCACCGGTACTAGTAGTAGTCAGATACGTAACCGCGCGGCTGAAAGATTTTCTAGTAGATCGTGCCATTTTATGATTTTCTACGTTAGTTCCATGCTTGTCATAAACCATGTAAATATGATTTTTGCTGTTTGCGACAACAAAGGTGTTACCATGCATTGTGGTCAGAGGATAAGATGCACTAGTGCTTTGAAGATCAACTCTATACTTTATCGATTCATCTTTCGAAAGTATGGTAACAGCAAAATGATCGCTTACGGCAATAACATCATCAAAACCAGTAATACTAAAAGCTGCAATGTTATGCAATGTATCGATGTGCTCTCCTTTCAATGAAAATATCTTTATTTTCCTATTTGCATAGTCACTTACATAAATTTCATTTTTGATCACGCAAAGTCCTGTTATTTTTGGAGATGTTTCATCATCTGATAAAAAGACATTTATCCGTCGTTTAAGATTCAGGGACAGAACTTTAGGAATGTCGGATTCCTCAACACCTGGCGGAAGAATTGATGCTACTGTACTCGTAGTACCGGGAGTAAATTCAAAGAACTTTATATTATTAACGTTGCCATATAAATTTCGTAACTTGACCTCTGGAAATTGACATCGTATAATTGTATTTGGCTGTGGTAATCTGTCCAAGTATCGCAGCCTTCCTGACAGCTCAGGTTCCATATATATGATTTCTGCTTCCTTTCCATTTTCAGTAACTCTAGAACAAAACTCGCTGCCATATGTTAAAAGAGCATGTCGCTTATTGATATCATCCTTTTGGCCATTTAAACGTTCTTTCTCGTTGGATACATGTTTCTTTACAGTATCTATCAGTTCAGTCTTCTCTTTTTCTATTCTCTCTTGTAACTGTTTAGATGTATGTTCTACTTCATTGATCGCTGTTTGTTCTGATTTATCGAGTTCCCGAACAACAGTCTCCGATTCAACATCAACATCAAACAGATCTTTAATTTTTATATCTAATCTTGAAATTATATCCGAAATTTTCCCCCGCTTGGATTCGTCCACCTCCGTAACTGGAACAGCCGAGTGATCAAAGTGGTCACCCAGTCGACATTCCCGACAAACAAGAACGTTACAGCTTTTGCAGTAATGATCAAGAACTTCTTTCACGTGATGCTCGCAGTGCATCGTTCTTTTATCGCGTATAATATCGTCATGGGAACCACGCGCCAACTCATCTAACGACAATACTTTATGTTCAATAGTCATTCTTGTCGACGAATGAGCCCCACCACATGACTCGCAAAGAAAATCTTCACAGTCAACGCATTTAAATTTGGCTTGTATCTTCTTGCTTCGTAAATCGCATATGGCACATTGTTTATCCCCACCATGTCTCGAAAAATATACATCAATAATTGTAATAAGATATTCGTTGGATGGAAACTCTCTAGCATCATGGGCGGATATCTCGATTGTCTCTTCACAAGTGGGACATTCGATAGTATCGGCAGTTTTATTCGTGTCTAGTATTCTCTGTAGACACTCAGAACACATAGAGTGAAGACATGGTAGCAACCGCGGTTTCTGGAAAACTTTGTTGCATACACCACAGACAATGTCTCCGGGTGGAGAGTCAGGATTTTCTACTGCCCCAGACATTCCAAGCCCCTATAGAATTCAGAAAAGGTTAAATTAATGAAAAATGTTTACTGTTTAAAACAAATAAAGTTTTAAACATAAATGAATGATGTTCGCTAAAGACGACACGAAGTAAAATTTCACTCTAAGTCTTTCAATATTGTCAGTTCGCTAAAGAAAAATAAAAGAATGGTAAAATCCCAAATAAGAAAAAAAATTATAATCCACTATTCCAGTACTTGATAATATAAATCGTTTTTAGTTAACCAGTGTTGTTAAATGTTTTCTTATTATTTCAATTAAGTTTTAGGCGAAAACAGTGTAAATAACTACAATACAAAATATAAAAAAAACTTGTATCATTCTAACCATATGTGAGTATACATTTTCTATTTCATGATAAAAAAAATCTCGAAAATATTATTCTTACCTTCTAATGCTTTAAGTTTGAAATGAAAAACGATATCATACAGTAGTACTCAGCATAAACTTATCAGTGAATTTTAACATTTTGACTATTTACCTAAACAAACACGATGTTATAAATCAAATCTTTGATCAATTTTTAAAAGTCACTTTAGGCTACTGAAGTTTGATGTTAGGTTTAAATACAGTTTGAATTTTTACAAATCAAAAGAAACTGAGGCTTAAAATGGAATGTGCTAGTGATGAATATTGTTTCTTGATGATCTTCATTGGTGATCCCCAAAGTGTTCTTTTTCTTGTATGTGTAAACCATGTACTTTGACGTTTTATTTTATGGAACTGTTGTTTTCTATAAATCTATCTTTTATTTCTTTCGCCAAAAGGTTCGGCTGGGGTATTGAAATGTGGTCATCTTGATTTCTCCCATCCTACAGTAACATTAATGCTGATGGGTTGTCCGTTTGTCTGTATGGGATTATGAATATGCAGGCCAGTTAGGTCGAAAAGAACGGAAAAATAACACAATCTCTACGTGTTTAAAAACCTTTTCAATGGTCTGCATGCAACCTGTAATTAGGACATTTTGGCACCGAATTACTGGTCATGTATTACAAATATAATTATTATATATATGTTATTGAAATGTCCTGAGTGGTTGTGGTTTATTAATTTGGATTCAATATTAGATCTTGGCTGTACTATATTTGGTTTTTATGCTCTCAAATGTTCTTTATGATTGGCTTTACAAACATGTTATCACGAGCTTGCCAGTTGAGAGCTATTCACAAAACACATGTAGTGCGAACGGAAATCTTTTTTGGGAGGGGAGATGTTACAACCACTAGGTCGGTTACGCTGATCGTGAACTATCAGTCCTGATTATACTATCCTTCCAGTTCCTCGGTACTGATTAATATAAATGATAAACTTTTGTTTGTTAATCTTCTGTCAATAAAATTATGTAACCGTGTTCAAAGTAATGTGCAACTCCGTACAGCAAAGTTGAAGTGTACGATTTTTGCTGGTCTACTTAAGTCCTTGTGGTTTTTAAATCTCTCGAATGATTGATAGTTTCGGATTTCGTTACTTTCGTACGCACAAAAATGTTTTTTTCTGATTCCGCCCGTTTACGAGACCTATTATGGTATACCGTTGTCCGTCTGTCCGTCCGTCGTCAACATGTCGGACAATAACTTAAAAATACTTTAACCAATTTTCATGAAACTTTGGTGCATTGTTTATATCTATTGATGCAGGCTCCCATTCCATTTTTATAAATTTAAGATTTTACGTTTCCGTGTTATGTGATTTTATTCATAAAAAATGTGGGATTTTCCAGTTACCAGATCTTTATTTAGACTATCGATGAGCATATTCTATTGAAAAGAACTTGTACCAATTCCAGCAAATAACAGATATTTTCTATTTTCATAAATTTGTATGATTAGGGGGTTCTCGTTTTTGTAATTGATTTTTTAAAAAGACGATTTTTAAATTGCTTAGAGTTTAGAACATTTGTCATTTCCAACTTAACGATACAATAAACAAATCTGAAAATTATAAAGTTACGGCAGTTTTGTTATTATTGATTTAATGTGATGATATGCATCTTGAAGTGCTGTGTGTATTTTTAATAAATCTTAAATAAGACGGTTATGCATTGATATTTTTAGTGTCTAGCCTAACATATTTGTAATCCTATCAGTTAAATTCAAGTAATGATAAAGCAAAAGGTGTATATTATTCAAAGTGTGTTATTTCTTTACAACTTTTCAATTGATTTGTAAAGACTTTTAATCAATGAATCAATATTCTATACTACAGATTATGGACAGGTTATCTGCTTACAACTGAGTATACCCAATAGCAGTATAGAAAATGATTAGATTTTCGTATCTATTAACTTTATACACCTTATTTAATCAACGCCAATGAAAAAGTCGTCAAGAGAATATAAATTTATTTAAAAGATAATTTATTAAAGAGATAATTTAGAAAAAGCAAAATTCCATTTCAACTATGAACGGTTAGAGAAAAATATTTACTTTTTTTTTCAAATAAATAACGCTTTTGGTCACGATTACAACGAAAATAAGTTAATATAAATCTATATTTGTTGGATTGCTGCATAAATGTTGGCATAGATGGCATTAGTCTTATCTGACACAGCTATTTGGAATTATTGCTTTTCAATGGTGTTTAACGTCCTTCCGATGGTCTTGATTCGAGTGCCGATGCATCATTAATTGAAATTTCATTTGAAAAACAAGAGCTATAAAATGTAAGGCCTATCCCAGCGTCTGTGTTGTATGCTCCTTATTCATATTAGAGTATACAATGAACAGTCTGATCATAATTAAAATCTCATAATCATACTCATCTACTAACTTTATTTGATACACAGTTTATATTTCTAAATTGTTCAGTGTAAGTCCAAACGTTCTAACTCCTTCTTTAATCTATTAATTGATTGTCTAAACGTTAGTTGTTTTTGTATTTATAGCCCCGCAACAAAGTTATAGGGGCCATATAGTTTTACCCTTATCCGTCATTTCGTCATTCTGTCATTCCGCAACGAACAGTCATACGGACTTTTTTTCTAAACGCCTTCACATATTGAGCTGATTTTTAGTATGTGAGTCTACTATGACGAGTTAAGATCGAGTTTACGTTTGGTTTTGTTTCATTGATTTTTGCTGAAATTACGGGTACAATTTAAATCATATCACGGTGCCGAAGTAAATGATACAACTGTAGTAACTTCCACTATTATTAAAATTAATAGATTAAAGAAGTAAAAGATCACGTGTAAATAAATGGAAAATTGCGATAAATAACAATGAGACATAACCCAAAAATACGAAAGGTTCCGTGTTAGTTATATTTTGCATGTGTCCCTTTTCAAATAAGAAATACATGCATACGACTTGTTTAAGTTATTGAGTGCTTCTCTGCAGAAAAACAACCACAGACGATGTAAGAGATAGCGTTGTAGTGTGCATGCTCTCATGTCATGTTTTGGCCCTAAGACCATGTTTACTTCCTAGTAATCACAATGATAAGGCGTAATTCGTTTCTGCGCAATTATTAAACAGATTTAAACGAATTTGTGAAGGTTATTGGTGAAGTTTTCTATATAATGAACAAATTTGGTTTCTTGCATATAAATAATTATATGTTCTATGTGGTAAAGAATATCATTCTTAAGAGGTAGGTTTTTTAAGTGTTATTTTTCTTTAAATGATATTGCATTGCACTGAAAATGTGTTAATCTTTAACAGTTAAACAACCACACCAAAGCGATAGCTTGAATAAGCAAAACGAAGATTCTACTTATATTTTAAAATATGTAGAACGACTTTTTTTTATGAATGAATAGCCTTTTGTTAACTTCTACAGTGTATGATTATGTTTTACAAACATAAAATAACAAAACAAAACAAATGTCCAGTCTGATACTAGGTCTGTCTATACGTTAAAAAAACAAGAACAAAAATTGCGTCGCTTTAGTATGAAATACCTCTGGCATAAATGAACATGAATTCAAAACATCAGTGTACTGAAATGCAGTAGCCTGTTTCGTTCTTTTAGTGTCTCGTCTAACTGTAGAGTTTGATTTCCGTTTTGATGTTGTACCGTCTTTGTTTGTAAACACTACAGAAATTCTTGCTCTGTCACTTTCTCTACATGAACTGTAAACGATATGTTTCTAAATTGTTCGCATGCATTTTGTATTGTACTTATAAGTAAAGGTGGTAATCTCTCCATTCTAAATAAATCATATGAAACTAACAGGGATCGATAAACTAACTTTCGGGAACCTCTTTTGACACGCAACAGTTAAAACAAAATTAAACGCATACAATAGTCAAAAGTTTTTGTCTGTATATGTGAAAAAATTACTTCTGCAATAAGGTATAATGATTTCCATCCGCTTTCAGCTTGGTAATTTGAGCAATAATCGACTACTTAAACCACTCGGCCACCGAGACGCGTTTAACAACAACAATCAATCCATCATTTCTGTACAATATATCTGTTGCATAACCTCTTCAAAGTCGTACTTATATATTATATATGTTATGAAGTGTGTATTCTTTATGAATGTGATGACTTTTTCAGCTTGTTATGAAACTCGCCGTAATAATCGTCTGTTTGGTTATTTTGAACATATTTGGAGACACAACATGCGCAACTGACCAATGTGCCACGGATTGCATAATTCGTACCAGTACCTGTATCGGTGTTTGTGGTGGAAAAGACATATTTCAGATGTTGTCATGTCATTCAAACTGCAAAACTCAATGCTTACTATGTACCATCAACTGCCCTAATCGTGCAGGAACAGCTTGTCAATTTTAAATCATAAATAAAAGAACTATTTATTACAAATGTTGAAAGACATATTTCCAGTTCATTAAAGTATGTGCATGTCAGTTTAATAAATAATCGAGTATTTAATTGTGAATGTGTAGTAATATGCTTTTGCACTATTTTCATAGATTTAGGCGACAGTAAAATTGAGAATGGAAATGGGGAATTTGCCAAAGAGACAACAACAAGAGCAGAAAACAGCCGAAGGCCACCAATGGGTCTTCAACACAGCTAGAAAATCCCGCACCCGGAGGCGGGCCTCAGCCGGCCCCTAAATAAAAATGTGTACTAGTTCAGTGAAAATGGACGTCACACTAAATTCCAAAACATATAAATGAACTAGAATTAAAAAAAAACATACAAGACTAACAAAGGCCAGAGGCTCCTGGCTTGGGACAGGCGCAAAAAACATATCAATGAACTAAAATAAAAAAAATATACACCTCATCTCTATTTTTCTATACAGTAGTGAATAGTAAGCTTTTTGAGTTTTATTTTGTTTTAAAGGCTATTGAATTGTGCTTAAAATGTGTAACCCTTTAATCCTTTCTGAATCTTACATTAAAAGCAGACGCTTGAGAAAACAATTATACAGTGTTCATCCCCGTAGCACAAAATACGTATAGCATGTAAAACATCTGAGGTAAAATCAAATCATGTATGAAAAAAAACCTTACATTGACTCTTCGTGTTAGGAATTCATTTGGCTGTACGAATATATAGGTGGCACGGTAGTATTTCCTGGCCCATAAGGGATAATGATAGCCTTTTTAGAATTTTCACCACTTTCTAACACTGCCAAAAATTCTACATATACAGTTAACTGAAGTACTTTCATTTTACTATTCAGAAATGAATTTGAATATGTATCATGACCGTTTACTTTTTTTGCTATCTTTAGGAACCTAAGGCCACTAGTGCTTTTAGGTCTTTTATCGTGCAGTGAATACAAAATTTAAAAAAATTCTCAAAAATTCATTTTCATCTGTATGTAAAATTATTTCATATTTTTCTACACCTGATTCATCCCTCAGTTTGGGAAAGTATGTTCAGTTGATACTGTATTTTTTGTCCAATCATAATGTTCAGATACATTGACTTAAGTAGGGTACACAAAAGAGCAACCTAAATTCTGGAATGAAAATACTACCGTGCTACCTTAAAATAGGCGGACATCTTCTGTCAAACTTTTCTGTTGGAAGGGGGAAAAACCAAACGTGTAGAAGTTTGATTGTTTCGTATGCTCGTAAAGGAGTTCGCACTACAGCTCTTGGTGAAAGCAGCCCACTTGGTGGTGTGGTGTGGCCATTTACACAGTCAGGTACGATCTGATTATGAACGTTTGCGGCAAGATGAATGTTTTTAATACATCGAAAATGAAAAAAGTATACGTTGGAGGTTTGGCGCGCCTTGTCAGCCTTCGACTTTCGTTTGGAAGTCCCTGTACCAATTCAGAATTATGTTAGTCAATAGAATTTGTTTTTATGGGAATAATTTGGAGGCATTTTTTTCCATAAGAAAACAGTAAAAATGGACATTGGCTCGCGGAGTGTACCATGAAATTGAGTCTTTGTAATTATTTTGGCTTACAAAGAAAATCTAATTTAGTGTATAAGAAACATTTAATAACCTAAAAGTATACAAGAGATGTGTTAAATGAATTTAACAATTTATGATAAAAGATTTGGTTTTCTAAGATACTGCGGATCGTATTTTTGCATTCAGACAGAAGTTGAAAAAAGCTACTCGACTACCGGTATCAAATTTCTTTTTTAGTAACATATGAATAAACTAGAGATTTCAAGACCGAGTAACAAAACATTTCGTCTAATTATGGAGCAAGATATAACTGTTTCGTTCATTGTTGTCCTAATTTTATTACGCTTGCAATAATTATTGTTTGTTTTTTTTTTAATTTTCAGCTGTTTATGTATTTCAGATGTCAGTCAGGGTTTCCTTTCTTGTGCATTTGGTTTATACGTTTCTTTTTTACTTTACACAGATATATAATTTATATGTTTCATACATGTAATCCCATTTAAAGTCTATTTATCTATTTTATCAGTAATAATTACCATACATGTTAACAAATATTTTGATTTGATATTTTCAGCTTATTATGAAACTCGCCTTTACAATCTTTTGTTTGGTCATTTTGAACTTATTTGGAGACACAGCATGCGCTACTGACCAATGTATCACACATTGCATATTTAGTTCCAGTACCTGTATCAGTGGTTGTGGTGGAAAAGATATACTTCAGATGTTGTCATGTCTTTCAAGATGCAAAACTCAATGTATACTATGAAACGTCAAATGCCCTAACCGTTCAAAAACTACTTGTAAATTTTAAATCAAGAATAAAAGAATTTGTTATTTCGTGTTGGAATATCATTTTGATGCACATTTCCCGTGTTTACAAATCGAGTATCTAAATGTGAATATGCAGTAAAACCCTTTGACACTTTGTAAAGTAACTGTATTAATTTTCGCCAATTATTGAAGCAATAGAAAATTTCAAATCAGCAGATGTCGATTTCAGCTTTTCAGTTTTTAAAAAATCCAAGTTTAGTTTGTGATTTGAATTTGAACTGTCAAAACATTCCTCTTTTTTAAGAGACAGGTTAGTAAATCGTGTAAAAGCTCCATATTTTAAGCCGTAAATAGCACCGTCAGACTTTTCCGGGACTCCATCTTTTCTTGTAAATGGATTATTATCAAAAGGTAAAACATATGCGTTGATATTCTTGATACTACCATGACAGTCTGTATGTTCTTGTTGTCTTAAAGTTCTATGTTTTAAGTGATATATTGCCGTGTCCAAGTCTCCATGACAACTCTGTAATACCAATTCTAAAATGTTTGAATTACTCCAAGGAAACAAATGACGAAGAATATTGATCTGTGATGGAATTACTTTAATGGAATTTAAACTGTAATCATCTCTTTTCGTATCTATTGGTATACTGAATTTTGTTATTACTCCAACAGAAGCTGTATCCAAATCTTTATCAGCAAAGCATCGCCGTCTCCTAATTCGTTCATTTAATTGCATTTTGTCGTTGTTTTTCGTGGGATTATTTTGAAAAATTCTTTGATGAATATCTGAAATAATAAAAGTATAAAGTGTGTACTTTTCCGTATCTATCGTCTTTTTTCCTAATACTTTTCTTTGCTTATTCAATATTTATTATAGTAACTTTTCCTTGTACACTGATGATCTACAAATGCATTTGTTCATACAGAATACAGTAATTGCGCCTTCCCCTTTTTTATATATGATAAAGGGTATACTATTTCATTTTCAAAGATTTCCCAACAAAATGTATACTAAAAATTAACGTATCTCCAGTCTATAATATATGTTCCTAGTATTTTTGGACTCTTAGGGTTCCCTTTTAAATTCAATTCTTTATTTATTGTTACATTATGGATACATCTATAATTTCACCAACATACTTGAAATTATGTCACGTGATACAACACGTTGTTGCAGATGTCTTAGGCTTCTGTGCATCATCCTCCTTTCTTGAAGCACACGTGTTGCATTCACAACTTTCTGTGTTACTCTAGTTGGAGACTCAGACGACTGGTGCCTACAATAAATATAATTTCTTTCATAAGTTGTGCGATTTAACATTGATTTGATTAATGGTTTTATATTGTTTACGTCTAGATGATTGGTACAGAAATTGATCTAGAATGTAGACACATGTATTCATTTTAGTTTTAAAAGGATAAGTCTGGTCTAAAAAAATATTCCGTTTGGTGAGACATACAGCTATCTATTTATTGCAATGTCAGTAAATAATAAGCAATGTATTTTAAAGAACGTTCCTTATTAATTTTAATTAGGTATTCATTATACACTATAAAATCCAAAATTATGAATCCAAAAACAAAATCCTACAACAATAACCGAGACTTTTAGTGAGCAGGTTGTCGCACCATAAAACAAACTTGATTATATCATAACTTTTTACGTAAGCGTTTGCTGATCGATACAGATAATACATTGGCCTTTAGACATTTATTTTTGTTTGCTGTAAGTTCTTTGGGAACTCTCTCAATGACTTTTAATCAATATCCCTGCTCCTATCCAAATATTCAAAGAAGGAATTCAGAAGGAGCGATCAAAGATCAGAAAGTCAGCGCTACTGCTGAATTTTCACAAATGAACAATTAAGAAGAGACGTTAACAACCACGGATATCGGTCAGTTGCTGGCTTGGGACGGGCTATACACATTTAAAACAACCTACGATGCTAAATGGTCTGTAACCAAGGTTGATATTAAATCCCTGCACTAGACACATAATGTTTATGGATCAGGAATGACGACAAAAAAAATATTCTAAAAATTGTTATAAAATAAATGGACAAAACTACAACAAACGTAATGCACAATCAAGAGGTCATAACTTGTGGACTCGTTATTGTTAATGTTAGGTACCAACAATAATTTATTTTGTATTAATTGTAATATCACAACTATTTCTGGAAAAAAAAGTAAAAAAACATTAAAATATTAGGGCGAATGCTGTCTTTCGTGAACCTTCTCCTTTATAAATGACTTACATTGATAAGCAGCAAACAAAAACAAGTACTAATTATGTAATATTCTAACATGTAGGCAATTAATCATTTAGTTACAATGTACTCAAGTACCTTGGTACACATGTGAATACATGTATCACGCGATTTATAGATCGCGAGAAATATATCAACAATAAGAATTTAGAATAGTCACTACATGCTCTTGGATAAATGTAATGATGAAAGAAACGGAAGAGAAAAAAGCAATAATTCAATGTTTTATATTATATCAACATCATTATGAGCTTTTAAATGGGCCTCTCTGACTGCGGAATAGAAAATATGGTCACCTTTTGTCTTCTACCGACCGGCAGTAAATTATACATGAAATATTTCATACTATTTTAGAACAATAATATATCTTCATTTGAAATTACCAAATTGTAGTTTTCAAAGTACACCTATATATAAGAATACGT